AAATTCTTAGACAAATTGACAATTCTTATTGTCAATATTTGAGGATCTTTCTTTGCTATAATTCCTAGTGAGGAATATAATAAAGGTAAAAATAAAATTTTCTTCCTCCAAATCTTAAAGAGTTCAGTAGGGAAAGTAAGCCATGTACATATATACTAATCTTCCAAGGGGTAAGGTTCGCTGAGAAAGATGGTCAAGAGAGGCGTTCAGGGAGCAGGGATCCCAGCTTAACCTTCAAGCTTTGCAGTCGCCCACAAGGTGCAGACATGAGAAGAAGGGCAAGGCCAGTGGAGGTTTAACAAAATAGCGTCACCAAGGAAGAAAGCACAAACTATTTATGAGATCAAGCAATCCAGGTGTTAATAGTCAAGTTTATACAGGGTATAAATGAGGTAGGACCAAAGGATTGGGGAGATTTCCTTAGATCATATTAGGAGAATCTATGATCCTTACCACATTTTAAATTATGCTGGTGATAAATTTATGATAATATGCTCTTAATGGAAAAACTTTTATAGTTTCCTTGGTGGCATATTGCTATTTTCAACTTTCTCATGTTATTCACTCAGTTATTCAACAAATATTATTGGCTTCCTATACATGGAGCTTATACTCCAGAGAGAGGTTTTGTGTATACATGTTATGTCAGGCGTGAGTCATACAGATAAATGGTGTGGACCTCAACGATTTATATCAGTTACCCATTCTTACTGTGTATGACTCATGAGGAACTAGAAGAGAGTATGTGCACAAGTACAAACATATTCAAAAACTAATCTTTACTGAAAAGCTTCTAGGTACACATAATCCTAAGTAACAAAATTAGATACAGTGTATTTTCTGTACCTTATATTGGAAAGGAACATGGTCTGTTGACAAAGTTCCATGGAGCTATGGGTTTAAATTTTGCCTTCAATCTCATGGCTTTTTTTTTAACATTATCTTTTTGAATAAATTAAGTTTTGAACCACAGTTTTGAAAGTGAACTATTAGTCTATTTGCATGCTGAAAATGTACACATAACAATTGTTTGTGTGTAATAGTTGGGTTTTTTTTTTGTCTTTTTTGTTTTTATCAGTACCAGGGATCGAACTCATGACCGCACACTTGCAAGGAAGGTGCTTATGCCGCTGAGCTAAATCCCCAGCCCCAATAGTTGTTTGATTAATGGCAACTTTCTATTATCTACTGTTATTGCTTCAAATCGCAGTATATTAATTCTGGTTTTTTATTAAAGCTATGGAGCTTTATTGTTTCTTCTTTTTTTAGAATTAATTTATTGGCACATTGTAGATATACATAATGGTCATATTCATCATAAGGAATTTATACATGATATATTTTGATTCCTCTTCTTTTCCCAGTCCCCTCTCTTCCCTTCAACCCATCTTCCCCTCCCTGTTTACAAAGATTTATTTCCATTTTATTTTTTGTTTTTCTTTTTCCTTCTTTCCTTTCCCCTTGCCCCACTGTAGTTTCCCTTTTCTTTTGAATATTTTTTTTCCCATTTCACAATATCTATTGTATGTTTTGGGTCTTTATTACTCTTTAAGTTTTTCACACCAAGGAGACTATGCAATGTTCACATACGAGTCTGATTTATTTTACTTAAGCATATGATCTCAAGTTGCATCCATTACATAGAAATGCCTCAAACTTATTTTTTATGGCAGAGTAGTACTCTACTATATAGAAAACCACATCTTTTCTTCATCATTACTTGATTGGTGGGCATTTGGGTTGCTTTCAAGATTTGGCTATTACAAGCTGTGCTGCCATAAACATGTGTATGCATATATCACTATAGTATGATGTTTTTAATTCTTCTGGGAAGATACCCAGAAGGGCAATAACTGGGTTGATTGGGACCTCTACTCCTAGTTTTTAGAGCAATCTCCATACTGATTTCTATAGTGGTTGCACCAGACTACACTTCCACCAACAGTGAAGAGTTCCTTTTTTTCCCCTACATCCTCTCCTGCATTCGTTATTGGTTGATTTCTTGATGATAGCCATTATTTCTGGAGTGAGAAGGAACCCCCATGTTGTTTTAATTTAAATTTACATAATAGTCAATGATGTTGAACATATTTTCATATATTTATTTGCCATTTGTATTCATCTGAAAAGTGTCTATTCAACTCAGATACCCATTTGTGGACTGGATCTTTAAATTTGGGGGATGGCCTGATTTTTTTTCAGTTCTTTATATCTTCTAGATGTAAGTTCTTTGTCTGACGGACAGATGGCTAAACGTTTTTTCCCACTCTGTCAGTTGTCTTCATTCTGTGGATTTCTTTTGTTGTGCAAAGGCTTTTTAATGGGATGAAATCTCAATTAATTGATTCTTTGTATTATTTTCTGGGTAATTGGGATTTTGTCCATGGTCTTTGCTTATATGTTTGTCTTCAAGAATTCTGCCTATTCTGTTTTTCAGCAGATTTATTCTTTCTGCCTTAATATTTAGACCTTTGATTCATTTCAATTTTAGTTTAGTGCACAGTGATAGGCTTGGGTCTGGTTTTAGTCTTTGGCATATGAAAAGCCAGTTTTTCCAGCACCATTTATTAAGAAGGCTATCTTTCTTATGGCTGTCTTCTGTCTTTTTTTGAATTCTCACTGCATACAGTGAGCACTGAACGTGTTGAAGGCAAGAGAGTATGCCTTCCAGTGCCTCCTGGTTCCCTTTTCCGTGGCTCCCACCCAGGCCATATGGACAGGACAGGTTCTGATTCCTCAACCTGCGTCAGTAGGAGGCATTGCTGCAGAAAGAACATGGTGCCCTTCAGCTGTGGGGTCAAATGTTGTCATGGCATCACTTTCCTGGGGTCAGACCCCATTGCATTTGCATTTGAACTACAAATATAATGCACATATTCCTTTAGAAGGACTATTTTTGGTAAATATAAAATCTTGACTCTGCATGCAGATAGAGGCATTAAATACTTCTGTTTGTAAAGAATTTGGCCATGATGTTCACAAATGGGAGCAAACAACACAGTAATTTTGTGAAACTAAGGAGCAAATAAATTGGGTAAGGAAAAGTTCTTTTTTTAAAAGTCAAAAGTAAGAAAAAAAGATAGATCCATATTAGCAGTGTTTATTGGGCTTTAGATGGTGTTATAATAGTGTGATCATCATGTTACTTTAAGAATTGCCTCTGTGCTGGCAGTTGTGGTCCCTGCCCCAAAGTTGGGATCCTCGGCCCAAGCTCCAGTGGCCTTCAAAGCAGAAGATTCCACTGGACATCCAGGTCTGTTTTGTCCACTGTTGTGCTGGCAACTAGCACAGGAGCCAGACAGTGCGTGTTCTATGTTTGTTGAACTCACAGCACCCTTTTGACTTTGGATTTTTAGCCACTTCCTGTACAGGTAACGCCATTTCTTCTTGATTTGCATAGCCAACCACTTAACCATGATGTTATTTGAATATTGGAAAATGAATTAGAAGCAAAATGTAGAAGTTATAATAAAAGAAACTTACCAAATTAAAAGCAATGCTTAACATATATTGCTGTAATAAGTGGCTAAATTGCAACTATTTAAACTTTAAAATCTATAGACAAACAGCAAGTTTTACAAAAGAACAGGAAACTGTGATGTCTTCTCATTGTAATACAGCCTGTTATTCTCAGACATTACAAACAAACAAACAAACCAGCATTACTTGTTTTATATCCTTTTTTGTGTAGACATTTCTTTTGGTCTCTCAGTTCTAAAATCTGACAAAAGTGGAGACACTGCAAACTCTCATAACTCATTAATTCTAATCCTACTACTATATTTGTCTGAATATCATTTAAATCTGGTAATTTTTTCTAGTTTTTAAGTGTGTCACTTGTCTATTTCTGCTAACTTAGCTCTTTTGATAAGGTCTTTTTGATTTAAGCTTCTTTTAGTTTCAAATTAGAGACATAAATCAATTCAGTATCCAGATTTCCCATAAGTTTCATATTTCATTCATTTCTCTGTTTTAATACACCTTGGAAGTTCTTTTCCTTCACACACAAGGGACCCTTTCTCTGTTTTTAAAAAATAAGGCAGTTATGATATAGTTATATGATGTGTATTTTTTAAGATCTATAAATTCTTCTCCAACTTAAATGCCACCAACTCAGTAGAGGCTACTTTGAAACCTGACAAGTGAGACTTAATTTCTGGGTCTTGCTTTTGAGGGCCTGTGCTCAGCTCCTCATATGGGACAAGGAGCCCATAGCCTGCCTAAAGTTGGCCACCAAAGGCCACATCACTCTCAAGGGCCCCTGGGCCCTGCAGCTCCCCATCCAAATAGCCTAGACTTGCTTCTTTGACTCCCATGCAGTGGTTCCCATTGGTCCTCAGAGGACGCACTGTTTTACTGGTGTGCACAGTAGATGGAGAGTGACATGGAAACTGCTGCTTGGGGGCAATGTGGGTGGATCCTGGATGTGCAGTCCCCTCACACTGGGCAAAGGGTAGACAGTGAGTGAGGGCTGGTGTTGGCCTACCACCCTGCTCTCTTGGGGCCCAGTCTGAGCATTCTGCATTCACATTTGCCTGCCAGATTATGATGGAGGCAAACTATTGATGTTAGAGGATGAGTCTACCTTACTTAGCACTTTGTTGACTTTATTTGTACTTTCAAAATGTTTAGATAGTTAGTGTGTCAACTTGATTTCGAAAATGTTTAGAGGTGAAAGCACTTGGCCAATTCCTGCTTTATTTTTGAGGTCAGAAAAGGAGACTTGAAACTCAGGTCTCTCAGTGTTTCATCACTCTGAACTCAGATGGTGATACCAAGAGTGACATTTTTACACAGTGAATTTGGAGTCCACTGGGAATCTGCTTGTTCTCTCTAATCTTGGATGAAAGTTGATAGAAAGAATGGGCAAACAAGGCAAGATAATGGCAAGTTCACCCAGGGCTACAGTTCTCATTGTGTTTACTTTAATTACACCCAACTCTGTTTTTTCTTCAAAAACTCCCTCATTAACACAGAGCTGGTTCCTGTCCTTGCCCTAGGTATCATTACTATGGGATTGGCATCAAAGAAAGCAGTGCATATTACCACTCCGTTTACTCTGGAAAGGGCCTCACAAGGTAGAGTCACACCACATTCAAGTCAAATTCTCTGCATCTCTTCAAATGCATGATATCTATTGCATGAAATGGCTTTCGGATTTTGATTATTAAAATGTTTTCTTTCCTTATACAGCCTTAGTGTCAACTTTGTGTTGACATTTACAGCTTCACAGTGTAGTAGCAGTAGTAGGTAAATTGTGTAATTTGCAATAATGATAAATCAATGGTGAACTAAGTATAACAGGGAGGTGAATAGGAGAAATTGAGGAAACAAAATTTCCTTTAAAGTTTATGTACTCGTAATGCTGAGTTGATTTTCAGGATGGATTCGGTAAAATTGAGGAAGGAAAGATGTGTTTTTCTGAGAGACAATTTTTAAAGATTTATGTGTTTAACTGGTGCCTTACCAAGATGCAGAGTTTATTATAATAATAGTTATGCACATATATTTTGAATGTAATCTTACCTCAATGAGTGAATCTACTGACCTGTTTGGGTCCCGGTGACAGGAAAAACATAAAGAAAAAGAACACATTGCTCCATGCTGTGCTTAACTCTCAGGAGGAAATTATTAATCAGGGACATGAAAACCATTGGGGTCAGTGGTCTGTACCAATATTTTAAAAATGCTGAAATTCTGGATAATTATTACTGCGTCAGGGATTACCTAATGATACGATTTACCAAGAATTAATATTTGTTATTAAAAGAAGAAATTACTTTTAAAAGTAAACTATCTTGTGGAAAAAGAAAGTTTAGTTACCTGAGTCATACTAAAATTAATCCATACTACAAGGAACATAGGAGCATCTTACTAAGCACAACTTACTATAAAAGGGAAATGCAGGCTGGAATATAAAAGTATTAACATTCTGTGTCCTTTGCTTGCTGTAACTCTGGCATTTTTCCCTGAGTATTTTTCATTTCACTTTCCCCTATAAGACTTTTTTTCTTTCAAAAGCTGAAAAAGGTACTGATTTCTTTTAAAAAATTTAATTATGGTACGAAGTTATTCCGTTTTTAAGCCCTCTTCATTTCCTTGAATGAGATAACTGTGATTCTGAACTAATAGAAAGTATACTAATTTTTAAGGTTTTCCGGGAGCAAGCTGAAGAATGAGGTAAGCATTATTTTCTTCTTTATTTTACATCTGCTGTAATTTGTTTGTCTTATATATTCAACAATATGTGTTAATCAGCTCTGTTGACAAACAGAGACATAAATGTTATTTGTTAGGGTTCAGTTAAGTGACTGTGGGTTTCAAATACAGGTAACTTAGATTCAGGACCACGATGAATCTTTCCATGGGCCTACAGAAAAATTTCCAGTTAACTAGAACTGATGAGTTTTCAGCTGTCCTTACCTAATATCAGACGTTTAAGGAGAATGAAAAAAAAAAAAAAGAATACTATTAATTTTAAAAGTTTCCACTGAAATGGAAGCAAAAGCCTAAGTTAAGGATATAGAAAAATTAATTTTTGGAATATACTTATTTGGACAAAAACATTAACAGTTATCAAGGAGCCCCAATGTTCTGTCATGCTATGGTTTGGTTTACTTTTTGTTCTTTCCCTCCCTTCCTCCCTTCCTCTTCTCATTCCTCCCTCTTTCCTCTCTACCCCTGGGCTTTCTCTCCACACCCTCTTTAGGGAACAGATCAGCAAACCGACTTTATCTTAACGAGTTAGACTACCATTAGGGACTGCATGGCTAATTAGGCACCTGATAAGGCTTTCATTATCCTCAACTTAACTAATCATTAAGAGGAGGTGCCAGAGAACACAGCGTACATGGTAGTGTATTGCATGGTAAATCTGGACCTGAATATATATTCTGGAATATATATATATATATATATGCATTTTCTAATGGTAAAGTGTACTCCATTAGTTTGATAAAATGATGCAACGCGTGTTATCTTAAAGAAATAAAAGTCCCCGAGGCCCTCAAATCAATTTTCCAGTTCTTTTAGTAGTTAATGGCTAATTACACAAATCAACTCCATCAGATTGCTTCTTTTATCAATAGAATAATAGCTTTTTATTAGATAAACAATTGCAAAACTGCAAAAATATTGACTTAGAAATACACTTTGGTTCGCTGAGTATTAGGTCGGTAGGGATTTTAAGTAATTGCTCTCAGGTGTGCTCCCCTGTGAGGTGAGGTGGAAGACTCGTGAGCACTTAGCACACATGGTACAGGGGCAGTTCACCTTTTTCCCAGAGCAAAAGGCGATGTTTCCAAGTCTACAAATTTGGCAGGAGATTTAGTTGCTGAAGTTAAAATATTCTAGATAGGTATACGTACTGTGTGTCTCTTACAGACATGTGAAGCAATAAGAAGGCAGTTTTAACATTTTAGAATTTAATACATCTTTAAGATGATAATAGGGGCTGGGAATGTAGCTCATCAGCACGTTGCCTGCCTGGCAAGCACGAGGCCTTGAGTTCAATTCTCAATACAAACAAGTAAAAAAGATAATAAAATATTTGCATAGTATAGTTGAAACTAGAAAGATTATGTGTATTATGACTGCCTGCTTAGGACAGGAGACAGTGCAGATCTATTTATATGTATATGGTATATTCAGGTTATTTAGGCATTAATAACCATGAAGTAAGAGCACAGGTGCTATTTGATAGCTTAGGCAGAGTAAAATAAATCAGAGTAAAGCTCTATCTGTTATAAAACCTACATTCAAGATATTAACTAGCTTACTTAGTATTAAGGATACGTTAATACGTTACCATTAGAAAATGCATATATATACATATATATATTCCATATAATATATATACATATATATATATATTCCAGAATATATATTCAGGTCCAGATTTACCATGCAAAGTAGTGAATGGATACATTTAGTCCTGGGCCATAGAAGCCATGTAGTGTAGCAGGAAACATCCTAACACATAGTTATAAACAAGTATCAAGGTTATCATACTGTCCATTAAGTTTAGGGGGCTAAGGACATTTTCCATAAGGAATGATATTTAAGAAGAGACCTACCGTCAGTGGGATGTGGAGGAGTACAGCAACGTGGAGTGGAGGATGTAGGGTTCAAACGGATGGGACCGCACAAATCAGGGTTTCTTCAATTTGGTGAGGTGGACCTCATTGTTCCAGACAGTTCTGTTTGTGAGAGTGTCCTGGGGGATTGTTAGATATTTAGTGGCATCATAATATCTGTGGCCTGAACACCCTACATTACAGTAGCAGTGTGACAAACAAAAATGTCTCTGACATTGCCAAACACCATCCACTCCTATAAGTGCAAGCAAATAAAAAAGTAAATCATGTTGTAAAGTTTAATAAATAAAAGAAATTCAAGATAGCTCCATGTAGAATGAGATGGAGACCTCACAGTTCAGTACAATATGTAGGGTTGTGTTATGCACAATTTTCAAAATTCAGAATTCTCAGAAAGAAAACTACTGAAAGGGAGAGGTGTCATCAGACTTATGCTTTATTAAAGAAGCTCAATCTGACTATGATATGTAAAATCAATTGTAAGAGGGCAAAAAAGGAAACCAAAGGATTACTGGAAAAAATATATGGGCAGACTGGGAAAGAGATCTAAATTAGGATAGTAGCCCCAGGAAAGGAGACAAGTGGCAGTTTTTGTTAGGAAATACTTGAGGAGACACTGGTAGAAACTGAGTAGAAGGGTAATGTTTCAATTTGGGCCTTGTCATATTTAATGAACTTGTGAAACTGTAAATTTGAAGTGGGCAGCTACAGATATGTAACAGAAAAAGAGGACTGAGAAATTCAGGTTGATGGTAATTGAAGTTAGGTAATGGAAAAGAAGGCTGAGAGAAGAGGTTACCAGAAAAGATGCACAAAAAGTAGGAGAAAGGAAGAGGGTCAGCAAGATGACCAAGGAGAATCCAGAGAGCCAAAAAGCAAAGGAAACTGTGTTGTCACTGAAGCCAGAGAGGGAAAGCTACCAATGGGAGAGCATCAAATGATGCTAAGAAGTCATTAAGGTAGGTACTGGAAATGGCCTGTTTGTGGGCTTTGTTAAGTGGAGATAATCGATGACTTCAAGGAAAGAGTTTTCAGTGGTGGTCTGGGGTTTGATTGGAAGTGTCATCAAATGTGGAAAATTCAGACAAGTTAAGGGCAATAGGTTAGAAGAGGATTCGAGGTTTAGTTTGAAAAAATGATTAGACTAATCCTGTAACGGATCCAGCAAAGTAGACCCTGAGGAGAAGAATGAGGGAAAGTCCAGTGTACAATGTCACCAAGGAAATGAGAGGGCAGATCTTCCCAGGGGAGAGATTTGTTCCTTGACTTTTTTCCAGTAAGGAAGGCACATTCTTCCATTAAAACTGGGAGAGTAAAAAGTAAATTCAGATGCAAAAAATTTGCAGGTTTTGTGGCAGGACATTGAGGTAGCTTCTGTTTGGTGGTATCGGATTTCTCTCAGAGTAGTGGCTTGGATCGTCTTCTGTGAGTGAAAATTCTGGGAGAAAGTAGGAATTTAAAGAGCTTAAAGAAAGTCCCCAAGCTTTCCAAGCTGGACTTGCAGAGAGAACTTGCAAGCCGACCTAATACCCCAAGGCACTCATTGTATGAAGGGCACTAACTCTCTTGCAGGTGGAGGGATACTTGCCAAGTGCTGCATGGGGAGCGGATTCAGAGCTGGGATCTTTAGGTTCTTTTGGTGGGACATAATTTTCTCAGAATCTTCCATTAGGGTAGGTAAGGATAGTCTTTGAGGAAGACAGAAAATGTAAGAACTTATAAAGTTATAATGATGAGAGCCCACAAGAATGCAGAAATACTCAAGTGCAGTCATAATAAGAGAAACATTACTACCTGTTTGAAAAAAATATGAACCAAAGAAAAATTTAAATGAAAGATACACTGTATATCTGACAGTATGATAGATATCATAGATATGTCTATTCTTTCTGAATTAATTTAGACATTTAATATGCTAATAAAAATTAAATTTTTAGAAATCATCATAATGGTTATAAACAATGTAGAAGAATGTCAGAAAGTAATATCTAAGAGATATAAACAAGAAGTGTCAGAAAGTAACTTGCTTGTATGGTAGATATAAAATTGTTATGATACTACAATACTGACTCAACTGTAGGGAGAATAAATCTGTGATTGAAACATAGTTGCCTGGTCCCCATCCCCATCCCGGCTGCACTTGGAGAACTGTGGAGCTTCCAACAAGTAGGTGGGCGCACGCTATCCCCGGAGCCCAGCCTATTTGGGACTCCTGCACCTCACCATCGGTGTGCACAGGAGGGGCTGGGCGGACCTACATCCACCTCCCCATCCACCTCCCCGTGTGTCTGGAGGACTGAGGATATCTCAGCAAGCAGGGGAGCATCGCAGGTTCCAGAGGCCCCGCGGCCTGTGGTAAGTGCTCAGTGCACTCTGCCCAAAGCCCAGACTGTTTGGGACCCTCCAGGCTTCTGGGTGCAGTGAAGTGGATAAGTGGTTTGAGGCATCTACATCTGCCTCCCCATCCCGGCTGCGCTTGGAGAACTGTGGAGCTTCCAACAAGCAGTGGGGCACACAGTGTCCCTGAAGCCCAGCTTATCTGGAACTACAGAGTTCTAAACAGGCAGAAGAGGGCCATTGGTTCTACAGGCGCAGTGGCTTGGGGTAACGGGGTGCCAGAGTCTCAGAAGCTGCGAACATAGAAGGGGATTTCCAACAGACCTTGAGGAAGCTTTCAAATAACACTTGAAACACAGAAATATAGGAAAATGACAAAATGAAAGACCAAATTACAACCTCAAACCTCCAGCCCACCTCAAGAAACCCTAGGAGCAATGTATATAGAAGAAAATATATGCCATTCGCCTCAAATATCGGACACAATAGCTACTGAAATTAACAAGCAACTCCAGGAAGCTTTAAAGAAATTCAAACTAGAAATAATCTCCCAGGTAAAAGAAGAAATGATAAAAGAAATGAAAGAGATTCTGAATATATCTAAAGAAAACACAGTTAGAAAATTGGAGGAACTAAAAAGATAGAATCCCTAGATGAGGATTTTAAGAAACAAACAATACATAATGCAGATGCACAAAAATATATAGGAAATAAAAAACTCCACTGAAAGTTGTAAAAACTGACTCA